AGCGTTGTGGTCTGAGGATTTCAGAGATTTATAACGGAGTCTTGAAAATTTACTTAAGGAATATGTACTTCCCCGAGCAATAACAAATATTACTACAAATGACCATATTAAATTAAAGTAACTTAGGCATTTCTGATTCATAGGAAAGTTCAAATTAATCCTCGGCAGTCTCAGTTTCCAAACGAAAACACGGCTTTGCCCGGCCACAGGTTCCCGGCGGTTAGTCAGCAGTGAATGAACCCGTAGGTGACGGGGTTGTTCCCTTAAGAATATTCAGTTTCCCCTTTTGTGGAAAAGCAATACTGGAAGGAAGAGACCCTGAAAAATCAGCCATAGTTGTATGTGGGAACCAGGAAACTTCAAAATTCTTTTTTCTATAAACTGAGATGAATTGTTTTTATAATTTTTAAAAAGAAAAGAAGCCTTTCTTATCCATTCTTAATTCCTTCCCCGACTAGTGAGGAGGCAAGGAGCCTGGCTCAAATGCTTTTTTTTTTTTTTTTTTTTTTCATTAAAGAAAAAATAACTACAAAGTTAAAGTACTGGTCAGTGTTTGATAATTGACTCTTGGAGAGAGGGAAAGCCCTGATTTGTAATAATTGCCAATTTCCATGATGCAATACTCCCTCCATGGCCAATGTCAAGCTACCACATGACATAACCTGAAGGAGAAGTCCACAGGCAGAGTAGGGAAGAGAGAGCAGTCACAGTAGCCCACCATTAGGTAGTAATTCTACCAAACAGAGACCATACTAAAGGAAATAACCTCAACCACATAAATAATAGTAAAATGAAGTAAAATAATTAAGAACCAACAAGTTTTGAGTATTACTGCCTTTGTATTTAATATACTTACTTTAATTACAAGTTCACATAATTTAAATTTTAATAGTTGGTGTGTTTAATTAAATTAACATAATTTAATTTTAGTGATGGGGGCTCACAAAATGCCTGAAAATGTAAGGTTTCACTCTCACAAGATGGTCTTGACAAAAACCTGTATTGATGGAATATTGCTTTGAAACTTTAGGGTTGAATGTGTCCAAAAGCAGGCAGAGTCCTGGTTGATAAGTGAAGGAGGAAGAGGAGCAGGGCAGCACAGCCAGTGAGGAGCTGGTGAGTTTCAGCCGTGCTCCCACGGCACGCATGTGCCCAGGCCTGTGCGTGCTCCCACCGACAGTAAATCATGCCACCATGGGTCGTGGCAGGGCAAGGTTGCCATGACTCATGGGCTAGCTGCAAGTTCATAGCCACCCATCCAGGAGAGAAGGAAGGAGGTGGAGGGAGAGAAAGGCAGGCAGAGTGCTTCAGGGGTTTCATGTTTAGTGCTTTTAACACGGTGCCTCGTTCTCGCGGCCAGAAAACACTCAGCAGACACATGGCAAAACAGATTGCCGCCCACAGCCAACCTAACGCGCTTGGAGGCCAAGGTGGGGGGTACGAGTGTGTTGTTGTGGTTATTTGTAGCTGTTGTTTTATATCTGTGCTTAGGAGAGCATTTATTTTACAATAAAAAGCATGAGCTGTTGATAGTTTTTAACCAGAGTGGGAGAAGACATGGAGGGAACCCCCACCTTTGACAAGAGTTTGTCTGACGCGCCTGTGACTGTCTGGGCTGATGCCCAGTAGGTCAGCCATTGCATAGTCCATGCTATATGAAAGCCATGGACATGCAGCATGCCCTCAGGCAATCTGGAGTCGGGTAAGGGGTGGAGATAAAACCTCATTATAAAGCTTTCTGTAATGATAACAGCTCTGGGTGTTGAGCCATTTCCTGTGTGACAGGCACCGAGGCCTCACCACAGCCCCATGAGGTCAGCACTCCCACTGCCCTGGTCCCCAGCAGGCGGTCCTCTCACACCGTGAACACTGAGACTCACAAGACGACCAGGGCCACAGTGGGCACTGGGTCTGTTTAGAGGGGTGGTGGGCAGAGCCACAACTGACAGTCAGGCAGTGTCCGCCTCCGTGGAGTCCTGTGCAGGCAGGCTGTTCAGATGCGAGTCAGATGGCCCTGGGGCAGGGGTGGGAGCTGCCCCGGTGGAAGAGGGGGTCGGGCTCGGTAACATTCCAGGGGCACGCTCCCAGTTCCCCACCGGGATGTGTCTGGGATAAGATCCCCATGCTCGGGAAGCCCAGGGTTCTGTCTTCCTACCAGTTCGCGTGGACTTCTCCTTCCTCCCGGCCTAGGTGTGACGGACCAGTCTTGGATCAGTCTCATCCTGAGGAGCACAGCTGACGTATCTTAGCAGGGTACCCAAATTAACCAAAGATCAAATTCTCCTGCAGAAAGGGAACAGATGTATGTCAACCCTTCACCTATAATTGTTAGTCCCATTTCACAGAAAATAACACTGAGGTTTAGAGCGGTTTCTCAGCTTGCCTCAATCACGTAGTCAGTAACCCAGCCGGGACTTGACCCTGGCCTACTCCAAGTCCCATACTTTTCACCAAAATGTGAGATGTAGGTTTCTCATTCTCTCCCATGGCATATCTGTGTTTATCTGACTATTTGAAACAGGAACTTGAACTCCGACACTGAGAACTACTGGTCCTCCTGGAAGAAGCATAGGCTTGGCCTGTGGTTTTGCCCACACTGCTAACCCCATGTTGAGAAGCTCAGCACCGGCCGCTAGTAGGATAATAAAGACAGCACTAGCTCCTTGCTTTTCTCTGAGAGCCCACATTTTGAGTAGAAGTTTATGGAGAGGGGATAAAAAGGCAGGTTTAAGAGCAGCAGAGCCATCTGAAAAGAAACGAGTACCTGCTACCGGGTGCAAACAATTCTGCTGTGCAGTGTGCCTTTCTTTTTAAATCACCACCATCCTGTAGCACCAACCTAAGCGCTCAAGGCGAAGCATGTAGCTTTTACTGCAGTTCAGTTCTGCATATAAAATGCAGTTTATATATCTAGATTGTATTGCAGAAGCCATTCAAGAAATGTGCCATTCATGCTCCAAGTACAAAAGTAGGCGCTTTAAGACACTGTAACGATACTGTAATATTGTTTCATTGGGTGTTTGATCAACTCTCAGCTTTTACCAGGCGTCGGAACTATCTGCTGACGTCCCAAAGTTCAGAACGTGAGGAAGACAAATGTTAGGGAGTTTTGTAGGCAGGATGTGAAACGGGTTGAGTGAAACAGCATGTTTAAGTGCAGTGGCATTTATGATGAATTGTATTGAAATAGTCAAAACACAATTGATGGAGGGGGACAGGGTACATAGAGGACTTGAGGGGGTTGGTTATGTTCTGTTTTTAGCCTGGGCAGTGGGCACAGCTGCCAGTTTTATTACCCAGATGCTTTCAAACACTCAATTCATTAGGCTTTCCATTGCAGTTTTCAAAAACGCAGTTGATAAAGTCTGCCTGCCAATAATACAGCCCAGCTGGCATGGCTCAGTGGTTGAGCATCAACCTATGAACCAGGAAGTCACAGTTTGATTCCCGGTGAGGACACATGCCTGGGTTGTGGCCTCAATCACCAACGTGGGGCATGTAAGAGGCAGCCAATCAATGATTCTCTCCCATCATTGATGTTTCTATCTCTCTCTCTCTCCTTTCCTCTCTGAAATAAAAATATATTTTTAAAAATAACAATACAAAAAAGATATTTGCTCTTTAGGTAAGAGATATTTCATAGATTGTTTTGAATCTTATATTACACTAAAGGCCCAGTGCATGAAATTCATGCATGGGGAGGGGGGGTGACCCTCAGCCCGGCCTGCACCCTCTCCAATCCGGGACCCCTTGGGGGATGTCTGACTGCCAGTTTAGGCTTGATCCCAGTGGCAGTCGGACATTCCTCTCACAATCTGGGACTTCTGGCTTCTAACCACTCGCCTGCCTGCCTGCCTGATTGCCCCTAACCGCTTCTGCCTACCAGCCTGATCACACCCTCCCCCCCCCCAACTTACCTCCTCTACTGGCCTGGTTGCTCCTAACTGCCCTCCCCTGCCTGCCGGGTCACCCCCAACTGCCCTCCCCTGCTGGCCTCGTCACCCCCAACTGCCCTTGCCTGCTGGCCTCGTCACCCCCAACTGCCCTTGCCTGCTGGCCTGGTCGCCCCCAACTGCTCTCTCCTGCCAGCCATCCTGTGATGATGTGAGGGTGGCCATCTGTGGCAGCCATCTTGTGATAACATCGCACGTGACGCCACCTAGGCTTTTATTATATAGGATGAATTTATGAAATGTTAAGTTATACAGTGAGGAAAGAACAGTTTGAATACTACTAACCTAAGAGGAGTGTTGAAAGAATAATTTTGAAGTTCCCAAGATGAAATTGTCAGGAAAGCCCACCTTTGCCTTTATGGGCAATAAAATCACAGCAGGAACAGATCCTCAGTAGTGCTCTTCCTCCTTGCACTGAGCTCATCCCTTCCTCTTGAATGTTCCTGGGCTGGCTGACTCGGTCATTCCGTAAACGCTCGCTGAATGGGTCTGCAGTGTGCTAGTAACATCTGTGGGACTGGGCTCCTTCCTTTCAGCTAATGGCTGCGGAGACAAGGCCTTCCGTCAGTGAAAAACATTAAAAAGCCCGAAGGACAATATGAGAACCCAGAGTCAGACACAAGAATCAGTTTTCATGTGACCATGATGCTAACCTATCTACAAAGAGAGCCCTCTCTCCCTGGGCGTGGCAGGGAGCTTGAGAATGGGTGGGCTTTCCGCAGGTTGGAAGAGAGAGGACCTCCCAAGAGAGGACAGGGCTTGTCACTGACGCACTGCTGCGGGTGCAGGTGGAATCTGTATGTGAGTTTCCCACAAGGAGGGTTTGCCTAGGGAAGAAACGGGCCTGGCTTTGAGGGACCTTAAACCAACCAGCTAGCAGATGCTTTCATCGTGCAGGAGAACGGGTCTGTTGTGAGCTTTGAGAGTGGGACAGACCTGTGAACAAGCCCCTTTCCCAGGAGGGGGCATCTGCCAGACTCGGGGTAGTTGTCACAGTCCTCCTGCTCTGTAAATGGCCCGGTCACTCACCTGCCCTTGTCCCTTCAGATTCATGACTGACGCTGCCCGCCGGGAGCAGGAGTCCCTCAAGAAGAAGATCCAGCCGAAGCTCTCGCTGACCTTGTCCAGCTCCGTGTCTCGGGGGAATGTGTCCACGCCGCCGCGCCACAGCAGTGGAAGCCTTACTCCCCCCGTGACCCCGCCCATCACGCCCTCCTCTTCATTCCGCAGCAGCACCCCGACAGGTGAGTGGCTTGGCTCTACCCCCTGGCGAAGAGGGAATGTGAGTGTGTGTGTGTGTGTGTGTGTGTGTGTGTGTGTGATGTGTGCTGGGGGCCAGGGATAGGTGGTGATTCAAACCCACCTGTTTGACCCTTTACTAGTCCGGGTAGAATTTGTTGGTTCATTCATCTACTTACGATTGAAGAAATATTTGTGAATTACTGTTCATCATATGTATGCAATAATGGATTTATACTTTTCATGCCCTTACCATGTCTTATGTGCAAAGGGATAGGATGGCTTGGGTTTGCACAGGTGGAGGAGTAGACAAAAAAGATGGCCACGTGTTGATTATTGTTGGAGCTGGGTGATGAGTGCATAGTGGTTCAGGACACCAGTCTCCCAATCTTTGCTTCTGGAAAATAGTTCCCATAATAAAATGATTATTATAAGAATATTTAGAGCGCCTCTCCCGCCAGGCAAAGGAGACCCGTTCCTGTCCCGAAGAGCTTGGGCCTCATGGAAGATGTTGGCCTTCTAGGGGGCCCACAAGCACACTCTTGTCTTTCCCTCCCCAAAGTGCAAGTCACTGAAAAATAAAACAGCAATCAGGGTGAAGTTCAAAATCAAGTTACTTAGTGCTGAAAGCCAGCCTACTGGATGGAGTGTGGATTCGTAGCCATTGGGCTTCATTGTAGGTCTTCCTGAGAGGTTAACTTATTTCCTAAATCACCCTTGTGAGCTTGCCCCGCAGTGTGCGCAGATCTGTGGGCCCCCGGCCCTCCACTGAGCATGCACCGTACTTCTCCCAATTCAGAGATCCATTGAGTCACTGCTCCCCGGGGGCAGGAGTGAGGAAAGATGGTAGAAAGAAGCTGGAAAGGTCCCTCCTTTTCTTTTTCCCAACTGGGAAGCAGGGAATATATTTTCCTTCTCCCCAGTTGGAGTATAGGCGCAGGTATTAACCAAATAAATGCACCAATAACTATGACACTGTCACCATGACAAGTGCTCTGTGGAGGCACTCAGTGATGTGAAAGCACCCAGAGAGAAGCCTGGCGGATCAGGGAAGGCTCCCCTTGAATGATGAGTGGGAGGCAAGGCAGTGACCAGAGAGAGAAGGAGCAGCTGGGAAAGGACTCCCTAATGCGTGTGGGGAGATGCTGGGTTGAATGAAGGAAAACTGGATTCTCTAAGGCAGGGCCTTCGTATACATTGTTATTCTCCAGTGGGAGAATTTAGTAAAATCTCCCAAACTTAGTTGACTCTGATTCTGGGACCTCTTTTCCTGGGGGCATCTCGGGGGCTCATGGCGGACAGACACCCTGTGTTCTGTCAGGGTTGGGCATTGTGGAAACAGGATTGGTGTCAGAGGCAGATGGACCAGAGTTCCTACCTGAACAGCTCCCTTCACCAGTTACTAAGTACACCTGTTCCATAGATTTCTGTGTACCAGTCTAACGTCATAGCCCATGTATGCACCTGGCGTCCTATAAATGTTTGTGCCATCTGGAGTCTTCATCTGGTGGCTTCAGGAACAGATCAGGGTCATTCTTCCATAGAAGATGAGTCGGTTCCTTTGTGCTGGGCATTTGTCCCTCCTTACATCGGCCCCCATGCTTCCCTTGTACTTTATTCTGTGAAGATTTACTTTCCAGCATGTTGTGTAACATTTACTGTGTGAATCTAAGGCATGCTGTGAGAATGTAATTCTGTGATCGTCTTTTCTGAGTATTTCTATGAAGATTTATTCATACAGAATATGAATTAAGGGGCAGTTATGCACCTGGGTGTGCTTTTTTTAAAATATATTTTATTGATTTTTTACAGAGAGGAAGGGAGAGAGATAGTTAGAAACATCGATGAGAGAGAAGCATCGATCAGCTGCCTCCTGCACACCCCCCCTGCTGGGGTTGTGCCTGCAACCAAGGTACATGCCCTTGACTGGAATTGAACCTGGGACTCTTCAGTCCCCAGGCTGATGCTCTATCCAGTGAGCCAAACTGGCCAGGGCTTGGGTGTGCTTTATACATGACTTAATACTGACTGGCTCGTGCCCTGCACCAGATAACCATGGCTGCCTCAGTCAGTAAGTTTCCTTAGAACCCCAGGAAAATCAAGACAGTTTAAAAGTGAGAGTTTATTATTTTTCATGTAAGAATGTTCGGGAGAAATGGAATCATTCATTTCCTTTCCCTCAGACCTAAAGAAATCTTTCTGACACCTTGCCTATTTTAGCAATTTCCCACTGGGAGGATTAATTTATGTTGTGGTAAAGATGTATCACTTTCAATCTGTCAAGATCATTGGTAAGTTATTTGCTGCTTGAAGAATGTTCCATGTAAACATCAAAAATTAGCAGGGGAAATGGTTTCTTAAACCCCTACCCTGTACAATTTTGATTGTGTACATTTTTCAATGTTGGAAATGTTATTTTACCTGTAGTTAGAGAGATCAGCTTGTTTTTCCTGACTAATGTGGTTTCAGTCACTTTCGCTGCCAGGTTATAAATAATAGCCCATGTCTCTGCCTTCTGAATCTACTCTCCCCAGTTCCATATTCAAGGCACATTCCTGGTCCAGAAGTAAGTCATCTTTGGAACATTTCATTTACAAAACATTTCTTTTTTTAAAAAAAATATATTTTATTGATTTTTTAGAGAGGAAGGGAGAGGCATAGAGAGTTAGAAACATCAATGAGAGAGAAACATCGATCAGCTGCCTCCTGCACACCTCCCACTGGGGATGTGCCCGCAACCAAGGCACATGCCCCTGACCGGAATTGAACCCGAACCCTTCAGTCCACAGGCCGACGCTCTATCCACTGAGCCAAACCGGTCAGGGCTACAAAACATTCTTTACAGTTCACTGTCGTGACGAGACTGGGTCCGAGCTCAGCTTCATCTGGAGTCTTGGGTATTGCTTAGGTATTCTTGGAACCAAGATGTAGTTTGGAATTTCCAAATCCTAGGAGGGTCTTGTCATCTCTTCCTTTTCATTTCCTCTCCTTATTTGCTTGATTTTATATCTATATATATCTGTATTTTAAAAGTATTCACTTAAGCAAAGGTTAGAATGGTTAAAATTATGGATCAGCACACTTTCTATAAAGGACCAGATGGTAAATGTCTCATGCTCTGCGGGCCATAGGGTCTCTGTTTCAGCTATTCAGCTATAGAATTACACACACAAATGGGCATGGTGTGTTCCATTAAAAGTTTTTGTACAACTTCATTTACAAACACAGGCCTGATTGGGCCCACAGGCCATGGTTTGCAAATCTCTGATTTAAATCATAAAGATATAGAATTGAAAGATAAACATAATTGAATTCCCTGAAAATAAAATGTTAAAACAATTCATACCTTTCTCCTGGGAATATCTGGAGTATAATTCTAAGGAGGAGTGGCAGCTGGCATTTGTAGTGTTTCCTGGCTGTGCTTACCGTATACTTTAGGTATGGTGCTGTTTTTAATCCTCACACCGGCCCCAGTGAGACAACACTATAATTTCCATGTACAGATCAAAGATATAGAGGCTTAGGAAGGTCAACTTGCACTAAACCTCATGTTTACCTGTTCAAAAAGGTGGTCTTTCTAGTGGACTCACACTTGCTGTCCACATTCAGACCTTTTTAAAAACTATTGGACCTTCAGACCTGTAGTTGCCCCAATTACTACTTGTCAGCTCCAAACCCGAAATACAGCACCTGCTAGGACACTGGGACTGTGGTTCACCCTCACTCACAGGAACTATGCTGCCGTCAGCTTGTTAGAACTGAAGAATTTGCTGGTTTCATTGAGTCAGAGTCTTCCTTAAGGGTGAGCTGGAGCTGAGTCCAGAGCGCCAATCTATAATAATAAAAGCATAATATGCAAATCGATCGAATGGCCTAACAGCAGAAGACCGCCCAGACGAGCTTCTGAACGAAGCCAGGGCTGCAAGGGCTAAGCCCTTGCACGAATTTTGTGCACTGGACCTCTAGTTGTTAAATATTCCGGTTTTCAAACCAGTTAAAGGATTAGCTTGAAATTGGCCATGGGGAGAGTATTTATACCAGTGAAATTAGCAAATGCTACCTATCCAGACTTCCACACGCCCCACTTTACCTGTTCACCACTCTCTTTTCCTTTTAATACTTACCAGATTACTCTTACTTAGTTTGTAGTTCAAGGGATCAGGGGCCTAACTATGTCTGTGAATCATCCTAAAGCAAAACTCAATCACTAATAAATAAATATTGGCCACTGCAAACAATGGATTGCTCCACAGACATTCACAACAAAGGTTGTGTAGTGACATTATCCAGTTATAAAACTACATATGAAGTATGATCCCAATCTTATTTTTTTTTTTACTTCAAAAAAGTTAACTGTGGTTACTTTAATGTGATGGGAAAACAGGTACTCTTCTTTTTCCTATTTTCTAAAATGAGCCTGTATTACTTTTGCAACTAAAACAACTGTTCAGTACATAGAACCAGAAGATCCAGACAAAATGGCTCTGACCCTGCTTCCCTGTCCCCTCAAAAAGAGAAATTAATCAATTTATTTCCTTCAGATTAATTTCATGGCCTTTCAGGGTTAGGGGGAAGGAGGTCATTCTCTAGGAAGGGCCTTTAGCCAGCAGGTTGTTTTGGTTATTAGAGTCTGTAGTTTAGCTGAGAAAGTAATTTCTTTTTTTCCTGTTCCCATATTTGCCCACTGGACCTCTTCAAAGAGTGACTCTCAGATGGAAATCACCTGGAGAATTTTTCAACCCTTTGCATGGGATCTACCCCGCGACTCTGACTTGGTTGGTGGGCGGGACTTTGGCACTGGTGGTTTTAAAAAGTTCTCTGGGGTTAACTCTCACCTGTAGATAGAGTTGGGAAACCACTGCTTTGCAGTGTGACCGTCCAGTTGTCCTAGCTGTATTTTCTTGCTTGGGTTAACATATCTCCACCTTGTCTGGAGAAGGTGACTGCAGCCACTCGCTTAGCCTTGGAAATGAGTCCAAGGGGACTGAACAGATGCGCGCTTGTG